GACCCCCCCCCCCCCCCCCCCCAAACCAATCATAATATCATTGTTTAATATCATTCACTATAGCAGGACCAACAAAATATATCAATCAATGTGTCCAAAACAAAATGCATTATGCTAAAGAGCATGAGATGCGAAGGGCCACTCTTCAAATCAATTATATAAATGTTCTATGAAAAAGGAAACAATAAATTCAGGTAATTTTATTGTGCATGTTTAGGTAAATAACTAATCATGGTATCAAAGCCTACTTTTATGTTTGCTACAATGTGTTAACAGTGTATGAAAAGTTTTTGACTTAATATTGTCATATTTTTAGGGACATTTTTTTTTTCTAATTTTTGGATACTTTCATGTATATTATATAGTGGCCCCCCCCCCCCCGTCCCCCCCAAAACCCCCAATATGCTTTTCAAACGGGTTCATGGTTGACGGGTAAGTTGAGTACATTATGGGATTTTTTTTTTTAAAGGGTGAAGTTCATTTATAGTTCACATAATTATTCTGATGATTCATGGTTGATCGGTAAGTTGATTCCAAATAGATTTTCTAATTTTTCCCAATCATATAAGGGCCCATTTTGGCATGACTTTCGACAAGTCAAAATGTTTTAGAGATTAAAAAACTGCTCTCGGACCATGTTGATTAGTTTTATAAAAGAGTTTCTTTTATTCAAAAGAGCTTTTAGAAAAAGTTAGCTCAATTATTCTTCATTTTAAAACCCTTTCGAAAGATAAAGTTCTTTTAGAAATTAGTTTTTAAATTTCAATTAAAATAACTTTATTATGAAACTCTTCTATAAGTAGAAGAAAAGCCTTCCTACCGAATTGGTCCTAAGTTCATTCAATTCGATTCTCGTAATATTGGTCATAAATGTGTGGCATACTCCCCAATCAATTTTTAAATATACTTTACGGTTATCACATTAGTTGAAAAATGTAAAATTAGTTATTGATTCTTAAAACATTGGCCATAAATATGTGACATACTCCCTAAACAGTTTATAAATAGACTTTACAGTACTTATATTAGTTGAAAAATGTAAAAATGATTTCGGGCCTCTTTGAGTGTGCTTAAAAATGATACTATCTTATAAATAAAATAAATCCTATTTTTGTTAAGGCAACATGTTTGGGAACTCAATTATATGTAATATAAACGAAAACAATTTGATAGTTTTCTGAAATACCCTTAATAGACCAAGTTCTTTTATTCGAGGGAAAATTGTAGCAGTGGTCCCTAACCTTTTTTTAATTTTACAGATTTTACCCTAAACTTTCATTTTGTGGCAGTGGAAGTCCCCAACCTTTCATAAGTGTGCAGTTGAAGTCTATCTGGATGAAAACCGTCCATTGCTCCATTAGTTGACAAAAAATTGAAAAATTGATCAATTTTGACCAAATAAAATAGGGGCGCTTTCGTCAATCTTATATTAATAGTTAAATTACTTAAATTTTAAAAAAATAAAAAATCAACCCTTCATCTTCTCCACCCTTGCCCTCTCCCAAGCCCGTCATCTTTGCCACCATCTTCCACCATCATTGACGTAGCTATAGTTATCGCGACCATCACCAGCCTGACTCACTAAACCTCAATAAAACCAAACAAGAGCTTTTTGTGCTAAATTACAGCAGTCGGACAACAAACAAGTAGAAATCGATAACCGAATAGAAACTAGTGGTCGAATTCAAGAAATGCAACAGCAATTGGACTTCGCAGTGAATTACTCAAGTCCCCTTTTGCAATGTCTTCGAAAAATACACCATGTTCGATGAATTTGAGAGTTAATTCAAAAGATTCTTGTTGTGCATAGAAAATAGGAAACGGGCGGTGAGCAGGGTTTGGGTCTTTTGTGAAATTGAGTGGGGAATGGGCGAAGGTAATGGAGGAAATTTATGTGAAATTGAGTGGTGTTGCTGTTCGATATCTCTGTGTTCTATTTCTGATGGATGAGGTGGTGTGGGTTAACCGAAATTTGGGTGTTACTTGGTTTGATGTGGAAATTTCTTGATTTTTTTCTGAGGAGGATGCTTCCATTGGTAGTGGAGGAAATAATGAGGAGAGTTGTGGTGGCGATGACAATAGGGGTGGCTCGGAGAAGGAGAAAGGGTTTGATGGGTTTATATATTATTTATATTTATTTTTGGTTTTTTAATTTAATTAAATAATTTATTTTATATTTAATATGAAAAAATACAAAGTACTATTTGGCCCTTTTTAATTTGGTCAAAATTAATCAATTTTTTCAATTTTTGGTCAACTAACGGAACAATGGACGGTTTCCGTTAAGATGTACTTCAATTGCATATTTACGAAATGTTGGGGAATTTCACTAGTGCAAAATGAAGATTATGGTAAAATCTACAAAAATTGAAAATGTTAGGGACCATTGCTACAATTTTCCCACTATTCAATTTCCAAGATGAGAACGTAAATTTGTAAAAAATTAGGGGTAATATGGTAATTGTGTTGGTCCGCTAAAATAAAAGACAATAAGTAGCATGGGATTTGCTGCTTTGAGCTCCTTTTGTCAAATAATTCTTATTTTTAAGCTAACATGTTTGAACGTTTGTCTATTTTTGGTGGTATAGACAATGCTAGCAATGCAATGCAAATGAAGTGACTATTAATTGAAATGAAACAGAAAATATATTTATTGCTAATGTTAAATTAAATTCGAATTTCAACAACGGATTTTAGCCCTTATTTGATGGCCATTATTAAAAAAAAGAGTTTCAAATAGCAATTTTTTGAAGAATTTTTGGTCAAAAAATTGAAAAAAAATGGAGTTTACTTATAAAATATTTTATTATATAGATGTGTGGCTAAAAATGAATATGAAAAATATTTTGTGCTTATAAAATAGTTTAAAATCCAAATATGCACATCATCGTCGAAATCCAAGAATTGATATGTCCAGCATAAGTGATATTGAGGTAAGTTAAAGTGCAAGGTGTTTTTTTCACGATAACATTACGTGTAGTTGATTGAATGGTGTAACACACTAACATAGCCTTAGAAGAAAAGACAACATTGACAACACGTTGCGTTCCTAACCTATTGAACTTGTCCATTTATAACATAGTTTTCTAAGGGCATGCTTGATAGTTTTAGGGCATCGGTTATGGAGGTCGTTTAGAAGGGTTATTAGTATAAATTGTCCCTAAGTTTAGAGTTCATTGTGCAAAATATCGCTACGTTTCATTTTTTTGTAGGATAATGTTATATGTACATTAGAGTGTTCATAATGGTGTACATCCCCTCATATGAAGGGGGACCCATATAAATTATCCGAAGTGGGTTTCCTCTATGTGAGAGGTGGACACTGTTATTAATACCGCATTATGTACAAGTAGCATATTTTCTTTTTTATTTTCATCCATATTTTCACATTTCATTGCAAAAATCATCATTTTTATTAATTTCAATCCAATTTCTGAATAAAAAAAAGTCATGAAATGACGAAGATAGCATCTTATATAAATAAAACAAAAAGGAAAAAAAAAAGAAAAAAGAAATCAAAGAACGAATTGCAATCATACTGCCATTTTTTTAAAGTGCAACCGAATCCCAAATATATTATTAAAAAATTAAAAAATAAATTCTCTTCCCTTCTTAATTTGTGAGTTTTGTGTAATTTTAGCTGTAAAGATTCAGAAGTTAATTGTTCCAACGGTCACTGAATTTATATCTATATTTTTTATTGCTTATTGAAATTTGAAAATATCAAATTTTGACCACTGAACTTAGAAAAATGTTATATGTTAGTCACGGGCATAACTTTCATCTCAAACCTCTAATAAAATTGATTATGTAGCTGACAGAATGCACATATGACTACTTGTCACACCGTTAAACTTTGACATAGTTGAATTTTGCCCACTAAACTTTGAAAAT